TTCATAACCATCCTACACCCTATAGCCATAGTCAAATCCACACGCACGCCCAGTCACAGCCAAATGCAAACCCACCACATTCCATGCAGCCATGCTCACATCCACTACATCCTATACAGTCGCTCCCACACCCAAAAATATAAACAGGTAACTCGTGAAGGCAATCGTCAAACTTCCAGAGAATCTATTGCTTTTGCTTTTTTCTCAGCATCTTTTAAGCTTTGCCGATTAAGCCTACCTTTCCTTTAACTGCAAAAGTATCTGGTGACCGTTCACTTCGTCGCATAACATTTTGTCGCGTTCTGTTCGTCGCAGAGTAATTACTCTCATACTCTTCCTTTCTACTTATTGTATCTCACTTAATTAATGAATTTTTTTTGTACAACCAATTGAAATAAAATAAATGAAAAATTCTATGATATATGTACAATTAAAATAGACCAATGATAATTCCAACAATACTAACTCTAATTGAAAAAGCGGATCAAAACGAATGCTCATATATAATCGCAACGGGTCTAAAGTGAACGATGAATAATTAGATTTGTTACTCGGTTAGTCAATTTTAACATAATTCAGGCTAAAGATAAATAATAAAATAATATTCTTAAATATGCAGCTAGAAAAAAAAAATTTCATTTTTCAATACCAACTCTCACTGCGAACTACTCTTTAATCAAAATGTCTCAAATCGAAAAACTTCTTTCTGTAAAAGGAAAACCAATGATTCATCACGCAGGTTACATCTACGCTGTAGAACGTACAACATCGACGAAATTGATCTTTCGTTGTCAGAACCGAGATTGTAAAAGTAAGTTGATATTTACTATCCGTCAATTAAAACAAAAATTATTGATCTATTAAGCTCGATGTCATACCAATTTATCTATGGACGTATTTCTCTCACAACCAACAGCCCACTGTCGTGCTCCTCGACCTGATCGTGTGCCTGCTATTCAATTAAAAAATGAAATTAAAGCTCGTGTCGTAATAACAGATGAATCAACCAGCTCCATTATTCATTCTGCTTTGCGTACGTATCCGTTGAGTGCTGCTGGTGAACTTCCAAAAAATGAAGCACTTATGCTAATGATTCGATGACAGCGTACTGTTGAAACAGTCGATGCCGATGATTGTTTACCAGAAAAATTAAGAAAGACGTATCGCGATGAAGACTTCATCTTGCACGAAGACAAAAATTTAATTATCTTTACAATAAAAACAAATTTATCGATTCTGAAGCAAAATAAACACATGCGATGGTAATTCCGCTTTCCAGGAAATTCAAAAAAATTATTACAGAAGAAATTTCATGAAAATTTAATTGAATGTTTTAAAGATAATAATAGCGAACTCACGTTATAAAAAGGAATATCGGAAAAAGTTTAAGTTTAAGTTAGAGTTTGGTTGGGTTGGATTGGGTTGGGTTGGGTTGGGTTGGGTTGGGTTGGTTTGGGTTGGGTCGGATCGGGTTGGGTTGGGTCGGGTCGGGTTGGGTTGGGTCGGGTCGGGTTGAGTTGGGTTGGGTTTGCTTGGCTTGGCTTGGCTTGGCTTGGGTAGGGTTGGGTTGGGTTGGGTTGGGTTGGGTCGGATTGAGTGTGGGTGCGAGCGTGGGTGCGGGTGTGGGTGCGGGTGTGGGTGTGGGATGTGGGTGTGGGATGTGGGTATGGGTGTGGATGTAGGTGGGGGTGCAGGTGTGGGTGTGGGTGTGGATGTGGGCGTGGGTGTAGGTGCGGGTGTGGGTGCGGATGTGGGTGTGGGTGTAGGTGCGGGTGTGGGTGTGGGATGTGACTTAAAAGAAAACAACATCCATATCCACACGCGCATCCACACCCACGCACACCCACACCCACATCCAACCCATCCCATCCCATACAATCTCAACACAACTCAACCCAACCAATCTCAACTCAACTCAACCCAACCCATCCTATACAATCTTAACTCAACTCAACCCAACCCAACCCATACCATCCCTCACATTCTCAACTTAACCCAACCCAATTCATCCCAACCCATACCATCCCTTACATTCTCAACTCAACTCAACCCAACCCAACCCATCCCATCTCTTACATTCTCAACTCAACTCAACTCAACCTAACCCAACCCAACCCAACCCAACCCAACCCAATCCATACCATCCCTTATATTCTCAACTCAACCCAACCCATACCATACCCTTCTTGAAATCATTCTTCACTTGAGGCGCAGTCAAATTTGAATTTTCTGGAAAGCGGAATTTACCATGCCCTCAAAAGATTTGGATTAGAATATTCATTGACCGGTTTGTTACCACGAGAAATTATGTACACAGTATCTTGTTCAACGTTTTCCTCGGTGTCCTTTTTCAGCGTTTTATCACCCATTTGTACTTTTATTCATTCTAAAAGATGCTCAACAACGTCATCAGACGAAATTTTGGTACTGTTAACATGTCAGATAGCACTACAACACAAAAAATGGTAGATACAAATATCAATGCCTTTTTGCTTTACCTCGCAATTATTAGTATAGCTGTTGTAGTGTTGGACTCAGATGCATTAATCAGAGGGTTAAGAATATAAGTTGTACGTTCGTTTTCAACCGCTTCTACCTTAGCGAAAATTTCCATTGTTGCCCAGGAACACTCCAGGATATCATTTTCAAGTAATTTATTGATTGTTGATTGATTAATTGTAACATATCGATGAAGAAGATTGTTTGAGCTAAGTCATTTAAGTGCATCAGAAATTTTTGTTTTTCGAACAGCCAAAATATTGTTTAGTTGACTTCTTTGTGGAGTGCGACAACAAAAATAATTTTTAGAGAATCACATAGATCATCTAATTCTAATGGCAGGGTAACAGCTATATTAATAACATCTTGAGGAAAGCTTATGCAGTTGCCTTTTAAAGTTGATTGAGCTATGCTTATCGAATGAAAAGACGAATATAATTTCATAACGCAGCTGTTGTGTTGGTAGAGAACAATAAGTCTTTGCTCGGGAATGGTTAGTCCTTGTAATTGTTTTGTCATATCTCCCATTCATACTTTATTGGCAGCTGAAAACTTGCGTATTTTTGCTTTCACCACGGATTACCAACATTTTGTACAAATGTCGCAGTATACCGAAGATTGTCTCTTGTTATCAAAAATTTTATGACGTCCTGCTTTATAGAGAAATATACTGTTTACCCAAGTAAATGATTGATCATCCATTGATGATTTTATATTCCTATCTATAATAAAAAAAATCCTGATTAATCTTGCTGGTCTAAGTGTTACAATGATCCAGCTGCTTCTCTTTCGTTTCGACTGAAAGCTAAACCAAGATCGTCATTCTTGTTAAACTTATCTTTTGAATGGAACTTGCTCGTTCGTTGTATTATAGGAATTATGTCATAAAGATCATTATGTACTCTAAACAATTCAATCGATGGAATTTCGCACAAAGGTATGTGGCAGAGATTACTTTTATAGCAATGAACATTACAAATACCACAAACATCCTCTGCTAGAGAACTCATCGATATATGTCGATTGAAGTTTTTTGAGCAGTTAATCATGCATTCCATTTCAATAGGTTTTGGTTATTCGGTGTCGCTACTTTTAGGATTTTTGTTTCTATCAGTAACCGTTTGTGCTTACACATTTTTCTGAAGATGTTTTCTCTTACGAGCCTCTGCTTGCTGTTGCTCGACTTTCTTCCGGTGCATAAGCAGCGCGTATTTCAGTACTTCTCCTGCGAGCTAATACGCGCAGTTCTACAGCTTCTTTTGGTGATATAGTAGCTCGTTTAGTCATACTCCTCCCAAGAGCAAGTGCTTGCTGTTGTTCGATTTCTTTCACTGTAAAAGTAGCTCGCTAAGCTGCAATTTTCTCACGAATTAATGCTCGTGGTTGTTCGATTTTCTCTGCTAGGGGCGTGGGTGTTAATTACAATATCCAAACCCTTTATTTCTTGTCGATAAATATCAGTATTTTAATTGGAAATCATACATTGAATTTAATTTTTAAATAAATTCACTGCATTTTTTAATCAATATGTCAATTTTAATCAATGAATTTGAAAAAGCATCAATTTTATGTCACTTCATCATCAAAAATACCATGTGTTATGCTTTTTGCATAGATTTCAAGATTTTAATGAATATGTTTTTATTTTGAAGTTATTTGATGTACACGAAAAGAGTAATTATATGGATACATGGTATTCTGAAAAGCATAGTTTACTAGTACACTCTATTTCAAATTCTCATGGACCATATCGAATGACACTCTAATTTAAGAACTCTCGTTCTGATAAGATTATTTGAAGCTTCATAGAATTTTGTCACGATATTACACAGCCCACGGGATAGGATAGGGCAGATTTTATTAACTCATTAGACAAAAAATTAATTCCATCCAGTATCATCCTGAGTCTGGCATAGAAACTACAGAATGAACAAGCTTTTCGCTGTATAACTGCATTAGGAACAACCAATCGAGACCAGACTAGTGCTGGCAATTAGGTTTAGCTCTGACTCACATATTCCTAAAACATCAGCCCGCTATTATCTATTTTTATGCTTGTTCAAGGAAGATACCTTCTTTTGTTGAGCGCTGTAGTGATCTAGCGAAATGGATAGTAACTTATACTTTATAATCAAATCGACGTACTTGACGTTCTGCTAGTTAAGAATTTTCTCTTTTGATTAGATCTTTTCAATAGGTGAGATGCATTTGCACATATAGCAGAAAGAATCTAAATTCATTAGTGCCCAATAGTATTGTCTCATGATCGCTCGCTAAATTACACATAAAACGAAAAATAAGCGTTGGATAGTTAGCATTACCAGGCGGTTACTTTACTAGGTAACCTTAAGAGATTCATTACCACCGAAGTAAGCTAGTGGTTGATTAAATATCGAATATTATTGCTAGTCATGTTGAATTGACGTGTCTAGTCAGAGTATGAAAAAGGCCTCCTCCTGGACTAATCTGAAACTTGCTATGTCCTGGAATCTCATCTTTATTCTATCATCGACAGGCGACAGTTTACATATCAGCCAGTCTTTTTCTAGAGAGAGATTCTTCAAGGACAGGTTCAACATCAGTTAGATATTAAATTATCATCTAGAATGCAGACTAGTGCTAGACAAGGACTTTTTGAGACTCTGACTAAACACTTTGAGACGTCATGACTCTCATCAGAAAATGATTTGAAACTGCCAAAAAGAAGCGTGTTGAATACGGTTCACACGACACGCTCCAATGAGATATATTTGACTAGTCCGAACGAGTCTGACATTAAATATATTATGAAGTAGAAGATCAGATTTGAACAAGAGTATAATGTTTTACTTATTTGTCATTTAAAGAATTGAACCAAACAGACGATAAAACTTCTTCTATGTGTCAATAAACATTTGGAGTAAGGATTTCATATGATTTAGAATTTTTTAAAATTTCAATACCTAGAAAAAACGCTTATTTTAGAACACAATTATGCAGATGAACTCCAATAAGACCAGAGTATGAGTGTTAGATAGTGTATGTTGCGGGTGTCAGAAGGTGACGATGAAGCCAACACCAATCCAACATACCAACACCCGTACCTTAGTACTTCTACGCATTTTTAAGTTGTCTCTCAAAAGCACGACGTTTTTGTTCCTTCATCGGATTTATAGCTGTTTTTTGAGCTTTAAAGAATGAAGAATGACATCAACGCACAAATCAGTATGGGTATATGTAATAAGCCTACTGCATAGCTTCGACCTCTGTGTCAATTTTGAAGAACTCATTTGGATTGCAACTCTAACTAGACAAAATAATGTCGATGACATATTAGATGTATATTGATATGCATTGAATAATTAACAATACTTTTTGCAATATTATCATTTTAGAACGCTTTGAATTGCCAAACATCAAACGAATACCATAATTTCGTATAATGTTGTAGAATAATTAGTACTAACAACGTATGGCTCAGATAAACGTTGTTAATCTTTCTTCTGCAATCCTAATATCTTTCGTCAATATAAAGTATAGACATTATATTTTATTGTGAAATATAACTGTATAACTGTTTTATTCATTGATCCGGCATAATAATGGGAGCGTATTTATGAGAC